ATTTAACTTAACTAATGCACATATGTAATTTAAAAAATTTAAAGTTATAATGCACATATATATATAATTTGCAATGATGTGCATTATAACTTTAAAGTTATAATGCAGTGGTTTCCACTTGCAGAGGAGCGACTCTGTTGGTCCAAGCCAGGGAGTCGATCCCTGCAAGCGCGACACTTCTAGATTTTATCCTATTTGGCCACTGCCACGCCCTTAGCGATGGATAACGTGAATCCGGTATGTAAGGCCACCAGGACCACACTTGAGGGCAATGCCCAATACGGTGCTAGTCGGGACCACCAGTGGTAGGGCCCGGACAACCTGGTTAAAAAAAATCTTTTAACAAAAAGACATGACTAATTCTTGAAATTCTTAGAAATGACTAAAATCTCGTTTTAAGTACTAAAACACGATATTTTTTTAATCAAGAAAGTACTAACACGACATGAAACACTTCTATATATCCTTGTAAAAACATTATAGTCTTATGATATCGCGATCTTCGGTTAAGGCCTCATCTCGATCTTCGAACCGTTTTGATTTCCGTCAAAACCAAATTAAACCACGACACATATTTACGATTTCTTAATACATAATCAACCGTCTTCATTCGCGGTTAATACCAAAGTAATTCAATATTGACTATTCCATTGCCGGACGGGGTGATACAATAATGACCCTTGTATATATTTGTTTTGCTTCGGCCATTACAAATCGTAAATATCGATTGATTTGAACTTGATTTCTATTATATATCTATATATATATTTTTGTTTCATCATCATTAAGGGCCATCATTAATTATATCAATCTTTTGAAAAGAGTTTATTAATATCAAATACTAGTACAAAGGATAACAAGATAAACGTGATAAGTGATAACAATGAGAATGCATGCAAACTACAAGGAGCGTACGTGCATGTAGTGTTAGATTGTTAACAATCACTAATGTTTTCCGATTGTATCGAACCAACTCTACCTGCACCTTTTCCAATAACTTTTCATTCCAACAATATCAGTGGCACCACCTCCACCTACGTTGTTTCAAACAACATTTCCAAACAACCTAGCACCACGTCCACCAGCACGGCCGGCACTACCACCAGCACTACTTGCACCACCAGCACCACCAGCTCCACTAGCACCACCGTTACCACCAGCACCACTAGGACCACCAGCACCACTAGGACCACCAGCACCACTTGCACCACCAGCACCGGTAGCACCACCAGCACCACTAGGACCACCGCCAGCACCGCCAGTACCACCAGCATCAGCACCTGTAGCACCACCAGCACCACTTGCACCACCAGCACCAGTGGCACCACCGGCACCACTAGCACCACCTGCACCACTAGCTCCACCAGCACCACTGGCAGCACCGGCACCACCTGCACCACTGGCACCACCAGCACCACCGGCACCACTAATATCACCACTAGAAGTACTAGTACTAGTGCCACTACCTCCACCAACAATTTTAGTACCATCTCCAACAACAATTTCAATACTAGTTCCATTAGCACTACCACCTGCACTAACACCTACACTACCACGAATGGTACTGTCAGAGCTAGCGGCACCGCCATCACCACCTGCACCACTATCACCACCGGAACCACCAGCGCCACTAGGACCGCCAGCACCACTA